AGACTAACGGTATAATAGAGCAAGACTCACCAAAAATATCTTTTTTTTTTATTACTTCGTTTCTTTTCGAAGCTTCTTCTTCTTCTTTTTATGTAGACATAACTCTATCTGTTTTTCAATGTGCCTCCAATAAATAAGTTGGCCTTCCATAGTTTTTGTGGTCTTCCTTTTGGGGAACCGTCTCTTGCCGTTTTTACTATTCTATTTGTTGCCATTCGGCTTATATTATTGTTTCATTCTACTCTTCTATTTCTTACCCAGCTCTTGATGTTCTCCACCTTGCATCTACGTCGTATATCTGTACCTCTAGCTCTGTCCCATAGTGTCTTGCCATCAATTTTTCGTCTCTGCGTCTTCAAAGCGTGAATGGTGAGTGTTTTGTAAATTCTGCCTTTCATTTCTTTCCCGATATTTTGTGAGAATGGCATAGGGTCGTCTGTATTGCAGATTATTTTTGAAGTTCTTTTTCTCCAATTTGGTATCCTTTTTTAGTTCTTCCTTTTTTTATCATTTCATCCATAATCAGGTTGAACCATAGACGACTCAGGGAATCTGACTGTCTTACCCCATTGCCAGCTTCAATAAGGTCGGTTAGTTCTTCTTTCACTTTAACTTTTATTGTGTTAATCAAATCTTGCCCAAGTACTTTCGATCACAAGATCATCTTCAGGGGCATTTCGTCAGTTGTGGCCTATCCAGCAGTAATAGAATGTTATAAATGTAAATTGGGACATAACAAATACACTAAACAAAGACAAACAAACACTTTAAAATTTAAGAAATGGAGAAGCTACATTTTATATAGAAGCCGGAGACAGAATGGAGTTGTCGGAGTGAATGCCGGAGTGATTCTGTCTCCGGCTTCTATATAAAATGTAGCTTCTCCATTTCTTAAATTTTAAAGTGTTTGTTTGTCTTTGTTTAGTGTATTTGTTATGTCCCAATTTACATTTATAACATTCTATTACTGCTGGATAGGCCACAACTGACGAAATGCCCCTGAGGATGATCTTGTGATCGAAAGTACTTGGGCAAGATTTGATTAACTACTGTGTTCGATATTTGCCTTGTGCACCATCAAAGTTCATTTATTCGAACATTCAACCTTATATTGTTTTATTGTGTTGTTTTGGTAAATATTTTCGATCGCTTTGATTATTCCTACAGGTATCTTTCTTGCGTATAATAAGTGGATAACGTCCTTTAATTTGACCCGGTCAAATGCATTCTTAAGGTCCACGCAACATGAATATGCCGGTTTGTTGTATTCTAATAAATTCTCTGACATTTTCCTCATTATAAATTTAGCGTCGGTGCGTGATCTTCCCGACCTGAAACCTTGTTGTTCTTCCTCCCTCCAAGTGGTTCTGTTGCTGCGTAAATTATGTTATTTTTGAGTTTTTCCCAGCTCTCTTCGATATTATCGTAATCTAATATTTCATTCCTTTCCGAAGGTGGGCAATACAAATGACAAATTTAGTTTTGGAAGCTGCTGCAACTATATGAGAAAGATTGCTGCAGATGGAGTTAAAGGGAAAATAGAATCATGAATGTCTTGCTTGTGTGAGTCCATTTCAAATAGGTAAAGAAATAATAAATAAGACTTACTCACAATCAATTTAATTTAACTATCAAACGACCGGTTTCGCTTTCTACAATATGCAAAGCATCCTCAGGTCTCGATACAAAGTTAACTTTGTTAACAAGTTTAACTTTGTATCGAGACCTGAGGATGCTTTGCATATTGTAGAAAGCGAAACCGGTCGTTTGATAGTTAAATTAAATTGATTGTGAGTAAGTCTTATTTATTATTTCTTTACCTATTTGGAAAATAGAATCTTCAAGGTCGGCATTAAGCAGAAGAACATCGTGGTTGTGGAACCTAAGAACGCATACGGGAAAAACGTTATCAGGTTTATTCAGAGCGGCAGTAGATACGGAAATGTGGTCCAATATTAATGCCAACACTCATAGAGGATAAGCACTTTCAAAAGAAGAACCAACACACACGTTTTAACAACAAGAAGGGAACTAACAATAGTCCCGTGTCATTGCAGTTCCTTCCCTGGTTCCTCTTATTCCATTGCTTCTCTCTTCTCATTATTTTGTAGTTATTCTTCAATTAAATCTAGTTTTTGTTCTTTGTTGTTCGGCTTAGTGTTGAAGGATGTTCGTAGTAAGCCATTTTGAGTATATTTTTTTACTACCACAAATTATTACGTCTATGTGGATTTTTTTCATTTTTTGCTGATGAATAAATTAATTCGATTTGTCTGAACATAATTTGTTTCACTCGAGTTTTGTATAATTATTGTAGACTTCAGTCCTTTAAACTTTTTCGTTCTTAGGAATTTTTGAATTATATACTAACATCCTATAAATTTGCCTTTGGTCATATTATTGGTTATAATATAAAACTATTTTTCCATCGTGTCATTATCTAAAATCTTCTAATTACTATTGATATTCGAAGACCATCATAAACGTGACTGTAGATTCGAAACAACTATCAAATAACGGGAACTGTCTTCCTTGACATTTCCTTTGGAATCGGTAATTTTTTTTTGCATTTGCATAAAATGTACATCCCGTTCATGATCATCGTGAATCTTCATTACTATATTTGGATCTCATTCGAAATGTTATCAAGTAAATTATACGGTAACGACAATTCAGTATGTTAAGAAAATTAAAGTGTTTGAAAATATGTCAAGGTTTAAAACGTGCAAAAATGTGAAAGATATAAACACTAAAGATATCAAAATAAGTAAGAAAATCAAGATTTTTGATCGTTTGAGAATAATGAAAAATCGGTACAGGGTAATCAACTTGTGTAAGAGAGTTCGTTATATCTGTTATTGGCAAATACCAAAAAATTATTTAAAAAAAATAGAAGGTAGGGGAGAGTGGGGCAAGTTGAGACAAATTTCGTATTTTAATTCTTACTCTTTTTTTGTTTTCCTATTAAAAACGTTACGATCCAATATTTTCATATGTTTATATATCATCATCATTCTGGCTTTACAAACTTTTAAAAAGTGTCGTCAAATGTTATGTAGTAGCATAACGTTTTCGATCTAATTAGATCATCCTCATTGCCTTATGTAGTTGAAGCTAACAATAAAGTTGTGGCTGTGACATCCATATATGGGTTTACATCATTCCAAATTTAAATTATGTTGTGACTCTAGGTCGATGAAATTGGATAAAATTTAATACTTTAGGAGTTACATGTCTCTCCGCTCGGTTTCTAACACGTGGTACTTGTCAGTTAAAACAACACAGATCAATCTGTCTAACCAATCAACCGTGGTACTTTTCGTTTTAACTGACAAGTACCACGTGTTAGAAACCGAGCAGAGAGACATGTAGCTCATAAAGTATTAAATTTTATCCAATATCATCGACCTAGAGTCACAACATAATTTAAATTTGGAATGATGTAAACCTATATATGGATGTCACAGCCAGAATTTTATTGTTAGTTTCAACTACATAAGGCACTGAGGATGATCTGATTAGATCGCAAACGTTATGCTACTACATAAATTTTGACGACACTTTTTAAAAGTTTTAACTATATGTTTTTTATACCAAAATACCCCAGCTAAATACTGCGATTTTCCCATTAATTTTTATTTTTACTTTAATGAAAATTTCAACATTTCTTTTGGATATCCGAGGATGAACACTTGCTCCTCTTGTAATTAATTGTTGGCAGAAATTAAATGTATAAATTCTGAACTAAGAACATGTACAGATGAAACTGTGAAAGAAGAATTGAATCATCAAAAGATTAAAAAATTGGAAGTAGAAAATAAACTACATAAATTAAAGGCAGAGAAATTTTATCTAATAAAAATGAGTGCTAGATTGTGTGCTCGCAAAGATGATAATGTAACTAGTATAACTATGGATTTTCAAAAAAATTTACATATCCAAACATCACAACGAATGATGTTTATTATAAACGACAACTTAACTACTATTTATTAAATATTCATCAACTGTCTGATGCTGATTCATTTTTGTACGTCTATGATGAAACAGTGGGTAAAATGCCGATGCTGTGGTTTCACATTTATTTGCCTTTATATACAATGAATTGAATTCTCAAGTACAAAAGTTGAACATACTCTGTGACTCATGTGGGGGTCAGAATAAAAATTATACAGTTTTTAGATTTCTTCACTATATTGATCATGCCTGCCATCGCTTTACAGAAATTATTGTTGTATTTCCTATCCGTGGCCACTCTTATTAAGAGTGTGACCGCAATATGGTTTTCATTAATCAAAAAGTAAGGATTAAGTTACCTAGTGAGTGGGTAGGTAAGACCACAGCACATTGGAGAGTCTAGAGAGAAACTTAAACCATTCAATTTCACGGAATGTACTACAAATCATTTTAAATATTGGACTGCATTTCTGACTCCTTTTTACAAAAAATTGTCCTTTTGTAAGCAGACCTTTAATACAGTTAAAAATTGATGGATGAATTAATCATGGAAGGTTAATCTTTTACAAAGAAAATTACAGTTGCTCATGGTTTTCAAGCATAATTAACAGTCCTCAACAACTGCGGTTGATAAAAAAAACAATAATAAATTTTCACTACCATGGCAGGCTTACATAGGCAAACTGCCTATTCCTGAGCTGAAGTTCAAAGATATTCAGGCTTTTTAATACAAGAAAGCCAGAGGTTTGAAGCACCTTCTATAGAACTAAAAATACAAATTCAGTAAAGGAGACGTAGTTGAAAACTGAACATTTAGATTATTTTCAACTGGAAATAAAAAGGAATAAAGAAATTACTCCTCTAAGGAAGCTGACGTAGAATCAAACTTGTCAAGTTACCGATATTCTACAGTAATTTAAAAGCATTGTTGTATTTTTATGTCTTGTTTTATTATTAAAAAGTTGTAAGTTAACTGCTGACAAATATAATTTTCCTTTTGTATTATTATCAAAAATCTATAATAATTATTTCTTTTATTTCAGGTCATGAAACGAAGACCTATAAGCAGCCTGCTCCTTCTAACAGCCCTACTCACCGTAACAACGGCTCAATGTCCGTGGCAACGTGAAATGCCCGAACTCCTCTCCTCGTGTTTATGCTCATATAATTTGGGACATGAACTTTCAGTGCAATGTGACATAGTGGACTTTTCAAAACTGCTTGGTGCGCTCAATCGATTCGCTACGTCGACACCTCTAGATCTTCTTTATATAAATAATTCCACGATAAACGAAATCGGAGATGAAGCTTTTATGAAGCTTAAGGTGCATAGTATGCAGCTCTCAGGTTGTAAAATAAGAAAAATTAGTGATGGTGCTTTCGCGGGCCAGGAACAATCGCTTAGGAATCTAAATTTACAAGATAATGAACTGACTGTAGTTCCTGTAAATAGTTTACGTAACCTAAGAAGTTTATCTCTTCTTGATCTTTCACATAACAAGATAAGTACTGTGCCAATGAATGCGTTCGAAAGTCTAGTAAAGTTAGCAACGCTCAAACTTTCAGATAATAATGTCACTCTAGACGATGGTGCCTTAAAAGGTCTGGAAGGATCATTAAAAAATCTAAATCTTAAAGGCACGAAGCAAAAAGAAGTGCCAAAAGCCATTCAAGGTATGAGGACTCTAGCATTTTTAGACTTATCTCAAAACATGATCAAAGAACTGCCTGGACCTAGTGGAGATCAAACGTTCGAAGGTTTAGTTGCCCTCACAGCACTCAATTTAGAACGGAATTTGATTCAAAACTTACATGAGAATGCCTTCTTTGGAGTTAAACGGACATTAAGTTCTTTGAGCCTACTCAACAATTTGCTGCCTGATTTTCCTACAACTGCCATAAGTAGCTTACGGGAGCTAAGGGTTTTGGATATAGGATTTAATTTACTGACTGAGTTGCCGGAAAACTCTTTTAAAGGAAATCCCTCGATTACTTTACTGGCTTTGGACGGTAACCCATTAGCTACGATACCATTTGAAGCTTTGTCGCATCTCAACAGTACGTTACGAGGATTGAGTCTGGGAGGAAGGTTTTTGCACTGCGACTGCCGTTTAGCATGGGTGAGTATTTTTTGTTACACCTAGGGGAAGGGCGGGCAAGATGGCATACTTAGTTTATTTTCCATATATCTGAGACATAAATAGAGATAAATCATTCCTTTTGATGTATAATGATAGCCAGATCATTTTTCTACTATTCTAAGAAACAAAAAATCACTCATACAAAGAGATTTATTTAAAAAAAAAATCAAAATCAAAATGTAACAAAAAACCATTTTGCCCGCACAGTGCGGGCAAAATGGCATACATATAAACAATAGTTTTAAATACAAAAATATTAAAAAATTTTGTTTTTACGAAGAAAAAAAAATTGAAATTAAACATTTTAGTTCATACAAAGTTCGCAAATAAATTGTTTTGCTTTTTTTGGAAGTCCAGCACATTCTGAATGTGACCAGTTTTGGCAAATTTGGCATCTTAACCATCCTTCATTAGATTTGGACCTACTAAACGTATCATTGCAGTAAATGCAAGCGCAGTCCTCTTGTTTATTATCATCAATACTAAAGGGTTCTTCTTCATCACTTGATATATTGTTCAGTTTTGATCTGGTCACAATATTTCTCTTGTCTTTTCTCTCCGACTGATGTCTATGTTTGTTCACAATGCGTCTTCCATTACTTAAATCATTGACTATTTTTCTTTTCACTGCGTCCCCTTTTCTGCTTTTTATTTCTTGTGCTTTTTTTTCATTTTCTTTTTCGCGGAGATATTTCAGGAAGGGGCTCTCGGTTAATACATCTTGGTATTGACCAGATTTACGTTTGGTAGATTTTCTTACATTACACTGAGGTACCGGTTCCAATTTCATCAAGATTCCTTCAATAGATTCATCTTTAGAACCAGATGCCGATGGTTCTTTTACATCATGATGATCGTGAGTTGCAGCGTGAGGAACATTAACATCAGCAGGTAAAGATGTAGAAGCAATGTTAGGTTAGAACCAGGTTATTAGTAGAACTATGCACATCTGTAGTTGCACTAGGCAAAAATGCATGCTCCGGAAAAATATCACGATTTATAGGTGATATTCCTGTGGCCCGAAAACCATTTATTGCGATCTCAATATTTGTTGTTTTCTCATATGCTTTCTGAAAGAGACTGGACACTTGATATATGGTTATTGCACGACCAGGATTTTCTCTGAGCCAATGAGTAACAGCTTGATTATAATATTTATGGAGTGGTCCGAAAAAGGCAACATCCAATGGCTGAAGGCGGTGCGTGCAGTGTGCCGGCAGGCAAAGTAATACCACTGAATTCTGTTTAGCTAATTCTAAAGCATCGTAGCTTTTATGGCTAGAGTGTCCGTCTAAAATTAATAATGCTTTCTGCGCAGGATTCGGCCTGACATGGTCAATGAAATGTTATATCCAACTTATGAACAAATCTCCGGTCATGTATCCTGATCATTATGCAATTTTAATATTCCTACAGGTGCGCCGTCATATAGAAGTGGGTTAAATCATTTTCGGGGGAAAATTATTGATGGTGGCACGTAAGTTCCTCCAGAACGCATGCACACTACAACTGTTGTGTGTACACCCCTTTCTGCGCTCGTGATAGAGCCCACTTGTTTTTTTCCTTTCTGAGCAAAGACTTTTGGCAGAACTTGGACGGTGGTCAAGGCTGATTCGTCCATGTTGAATATCATGGTATTTTGAATTTTGTGTTCTTCAACAACTTCTAACTTATCAAAAAATTTATTTACCTGAGGCTTATTGAATGCCTCGGCCCGTGCAAGAGACGTAGCTTCCGGAAGACGTAATGATAATTGTGGATTTCGTTGGCGAAAACCATGCAACCATCCTTTGCCAGCCATCTTGGTCACTTTATTGAACGGATGATTAATCTTCATTTTCTCTGCAATGCTATAGGCTAGCTTGCATAAGTCTGCTCTTGTCACGCCAAAAAACCGGGATTCAAGATACAGAATGTGGGCAACTATTGCAGTCTCCATATCTTCCTTTAAAACTGTTGCCAGGGAGCCCAAATGTTTTTTTGCTTCAATGGCAATTTAATTTTTATTACCTGCTCGACGTCGTAGTGTTGAGAACGGTACATGAAATGTATTGCTTGCTTTAAGCCAACCCATTTCGGAATTTCAGACTGCCTCCAAAGCTCTTTGCATGTCTTCCTCACTCCAACTATTTCTGTTAGACTTCCTTTTATATGAATAAACCATCTGCAAAAAAAACTGAATATGTACCTGAAAAACAGACGGGCAAAATGACATAGTATGTTATTTTGCCCGCTATAATGCTATGCCATTTTGCCCGTTTTGTATTTACCGACTACTGATAGTTGAAAAAAATTAATAATGGAAATAAACACAATTTTTATTTAAGATCACATGCAGCGTATAAAACATAATTACCAAAAAGTGAATTCAAAAAGCTCTATAACCTTAATTTAATAAATTATTGAATAAAACTAACATTGACGCCTCGAACTCGACCAGCACTTATTCACAAATACACCAATCTCGTGGCCGGCCGTTAAATTAGGTGCACGAGACTTAATGTGGACAATGTTGCCACTGTTTATAATAAGTATCCAGAATTGCGGTGACATAGAACCGTTAGCTTGACTACGAGAACAAAAAACCATTTTGGCCGTCTATGCCATTTTACCTGCTCTTCCCCTATACAGTTTAGTTAATAAATAGTTTAAATATTTTAAACTTTTATGTTTTATCTGAATTTTGAAGCGCTGCCATTGGTCTTGAATCGATTCCAATGAGTCGCTACGATATGCTTTCCATACTCAACTTTCTGCATAGTAAAATTCAATATGGATTCTTTACTTTTCTGCTTACCACGAAATGATTCTCGTAGTGGTACAAACACAGTGTGTTTATGGTTGTTGTTGTTTTTTTTTCGTTTATTGTTTATCTCTAGGTTGAAATTGATATGTTTTTTTTATTCAATGATTCGTGATTTTTTTTGTATTCAATGATACACTGCAGCCCGGGAATTAGTTATAGAACACATCGGCTCGAAAAATATTCTTAATTCGATGACGAAATTACTGAAGCCGCAGGTATTCTGCAAGAGACAATTCCGAGTTCCAACATCGAAAAGATTATAATACTCATGCTCGTCCTTCTAAAGATTTTTACTACTGTCAAGGATCAATCCCACCGTAAACCGATAATCTCAACGGAAATTAGGGCTCGTGCGACAATCGTAGCGAATTACGATTGCCTAGTAAAGTCACATTGTTTTGAGCCTTTCGACTTTCGGAACTCCAAGAGATATGGTTGCCACTTTTGACTAGAAAGGATACGGCCTTAGAGGCGTTCAGACATAATCCCACGGATGGTAGCTTCGCACCATTAGCCGCGCGAGTAAGTGCGTCAACCAAATGTCCGAACCTGCGGTTTCTCTCGTATTGAGCAGGATTACTATCGCAATGACGAGTCATCAGTAGGGTTAAACTAACCTTTCTCATACGGTCTAAGACTAGCTTACGTTCCCTGTATATGGGTGAACAATCCAACGCTTTGCGTCCAACGCAACGAATTCTGCTTCGCAACGATAGGAAGTGCCAACATCTTCTTCTTCAGTGCCTTATCCGGTCCGGATGTTGGCGATCATCAAGGCTATCATAGTTTTGTTGACTGCTCTGCGAAACAGCTCCGCTGAGGTCATCCCAAACCATTGTCGAAGATTTTTCAACCACGAGATACGACAACGTCCCGGTCCCCTTCTGCCAAATACTTTACCCTGCATAACGAGTTGAAGAATTCGATATTTTTCTTCGTTCCGCATGACGTGGCCGAGGTACTCAAGCTTACGTTGTTTAATTAAATTAAGCACTTATTTTTCTTTTGTCATGCGCTGTAGGACCTCAACGTTGGTGACATGGTCCACATAAGATATTTTTAGTATCCTTCTGTACATCCACACCTCGAAGGCTTCAATTCGTTTTTCAGTGGCTTCCGTCAGTGTCCAGGCTTCAACTCCATATAGTAACACTGGAAGAATGTAGAACCTCACTATCCGCATCTTGGTTCCCAAACTGAGATCACTGCAGCACAGCAAGGATCTCAACTTAATAAATGTAGACCGTGCCATTTCAATTCTGGATCTAATCTCTTGAGCGTAGTCCCATTGTACGTTGAGGGTAGTTCCGAGGTAAGTGAATCTGTCGACTGTCTGGATCTCTTGGCTACCTGCCATTAGTGCCCCGGGATCTAAATTTGTACGGCTGACACCCATGAATTTAGTTTTCTTAATATTGAGGTTCAGTCCGTATGTTACGCTCACAGTTCGCACTCGGTCTAGTAAGGCCTGCAGATCGTTTAGGCTGGTTGCTAGTAACACAGTGTCATCGGCGTAGCGGATATTATTGATGTATTCACCGTTCACTCGGATTCCCATATCTAGGTTTGTGAGGGCTTCATTAAAAATCTCCTCAGAGTATATATTGAAAAGAGTCGGCGATAGCACACATCCTTGCCATACTCCTCGCATGATCTTCACTTGGTCGGTCAGCTAGTCTTCGACCTTGACGTGAGCACGCTGGTTCCAGTATAAATTCATGATGATCCGAATGTCCTTCTCATCCAATCCTACTCTTTGTAGTGCGGTGACGACATCGCAGGATCAAAAAGCGACGTCGCTATGAATGCTTGGCCGCCACAAGTCAGTTATCCCTGGTGTAACTTTTCTGACACCTCTTGCTGAAAACTCTTCAAGCCAAAAGCCCGACGTACGAAACAAATTTAGTGCAAGACACATAGTTCGATTTTCAGTCACTTTAAAAGCTTCAGTTATTTTATAAGAGCACCCTGAGGATTAACATTAGGTGTTAAACAGGGTTCAGCCGGCCCAAAAATGCTTCTTTAAGAGTGAAAATAAGGTAAGCATTACCAATGTAAAAACATTGGAAGATCGGAGATATCTAATTGGAAAGGCACCCAGACAACTCACTAATCGGTGGTAAATACTCCTTTATCAAGGAAGTCTAATCGTCCTTACTAGTAAATCTGCTGG